AAGAGCACATGCAGTTTAGCGCACTCCATGGGTACAATGTAGTGATTCAGGCCACACACGATAACTCCTCTCATGCTGGCATTCAGTAAGAATTTATTTCATTGTGTCTCCTTGTGGGTTAGCCTTTTATTGTGTGATTTGGTTTTATTGACCCGCTTATTTCTGTATGTGCTCAAAGTAAACATGACACTCTTTCCTCATATTATCCCATGAGTACCATTTGCACTCCTTTCAGTAGTTACAGATGGTCCAGGAGTGAGATTTACTTTGCCCTTTGTTTTAGAATTTAGCAATTGACACCAGAGAAGAATCCCTGGGCATGCAGCAGAAGTCATGAAAGCAAAGATTTAAAGCTTTAGTACCGAGTGACTCTTTATACTGTAGTTTCACTTGAGCCAGGGGCTAGCCACCCCATCCACAAATAGGAAGTAACATATTGTCAGTGATCTGACATTGGAGGCAAAAAAGAAAAGAAGAAACTCAGAATTTGGTTTCAAGTCTTTATTCCCATACTTAACAGACCAGAGAAGACTCCAAGGAGGGAGTGAGGTCTAATAAGAGTAACAAGGCCCTGGGAAATGGCAACACTAACATCACTTTGTGCCATGCTCCAGCCTGGCACATTGGGATCCGGGTTGGGAACTAATATGGAAAGGGCAAAGGTGCTGGAGCAGATCACTCTGCCTCGAGCACAGCACCAGCGACGGAATGTAGGCCTGGATACGAACTGTGCAGGTCAAACACAGGGTATAGAAGGAAGCAGGGGTCACAATGCAACATCCACCAGTACCGCACAAAGCCAGCTTTTCATCCCCTCTCTGGCCATTCCACCAAGTCCATAATTGTCTTTGACAAAACTCATTAGCAGAGACCTTGTAGCAACATCGGCAATCAGAAATTCCATGGAGGGAGACATGCACAGAAACAATGTCCCACACACATTTCATTGCGCCTTTTGACAAAATGTAATCAAGTGTGTATATTGTCCCACTCATCTGAACTCTGAGTCACTGGTACAAAGATTTTGTTTTATGAGCCTTAGCTGCCCAGCGTGGGACACATCAAATGGCACCTTCATGCTGGCTCTTTTGTCAGACAAGAGGGCAAATTATTGTTTGAGATGTTGTTGTTGTTGTTGTTATTATGGCCCCTTTTTATACAGAGAGGCCATTGCTATCGTGTCAGAATAATTCATATTCTTTTACTTTGGAGGCACATGCTCATTAAGTGGGGGGCCTAAATGTAAAGTGAACATGTGATGGATGTTCCTCGCAGTGCTTTGTCAGAGGTTAACCCCTCATTGACCTATAGTATTATATTGTACAACACACACACAGTAACAGTCATTGTTACAATGGTCTCAGCCCCTTTAAGACCCGGGTTAAGAGCAATACCAATAAAAAATATAAATGCATAAGACAAGGACATGTGAGGTTTGTTTGCTTTACTTCCATGCCACCTCTGACTGATATTAGGGATGGGATTTCTTTATCTGACCATTATTTTTATAAGTGTGCAGTATATTTTACATTAAGTTACATTTAGGCATTAAGATGACACCTGTCAGCAGAAAAAAAATGAAAACGATTTAACAAGTGGATCTCTAAATAACTGTTACTGTTACTGCATTCATTGCTCCCAAACGTTTCAGCTATCAAAACTTATATTCATGGGAATGATTTAACCAGAGATGGCTTTGAAAATTCATAAGTTTTATAAAGTTTTCTTCAGTCCAAAAAAGTTGAGCAAATTACTTTATTATAAAGTGAACATTTTAATCCAATATTCTAAAGAAGTGAAAACTACAACAAACTGCAAACATAACTTACAAACACAATTCAACGTGTCCCTGTAGTTATTAGAAACTCATTTAACACTGCCTTGGAAAATGAATGCGCTTTGAAAACACTTGAAGGCACATGTCGGTACATTGCACGTGAGAACACATTGTCATTCATATTGATTTAAAATATTTGTGTTCAGTTTCTACACTTGGAACACTGACATTCTGAGCACTGATTACCACTCCTGAGAGGCTGAAAAAATAGCAGACCATCAAGAGGAAAAACAGATCAGTAATATTATTTCCACCGTCTTGTATTTTAAAACATTTATAGTACACAGCAAAAAAGTTTTGAGGTGACCTACAAAAGTTAAAGTAAAGAAAAAATAGCTATGCAGCTTTCAAGGATATAGAATAATATATATATTATTCTCTTATGTGAGTGTGCACTGTGTAGTGTTACACAGCATTTGCCCTTTAGGGGGTAGTGCCCTTCTAAATAGCCAAAATTATAATTCCATTACTTTATATTTATAAAAGTGTTACTTGTCCCACACATAAATTTCTTTAAGGGGACACCTGTCATTTCTTATAATCGGCTGTCCTATTGACTTGAAAAGAGCAGAGGGGGCAAGCAGCAAGTTGTCCCAGAAAAGATCAATGATATATGACAGCAGGAGGGGTGGGTTGGGGTATGGGTGTGTGTGTGTGTGTGGGGGGGGGGACTGTACACTTATGGAAGTGTTTGATAATATGAGTATAAAGACATCCTCTGATTTCATGCAAGGGATGCTCCCATATTATTAATGTCAAACTCATTTAAGAATTCATGTTTACCATAGCTTGTTTTGTTTTTTGGCATATTTGTGCCTCATTCACAGATTATCTAAAATCTGTTTTGGATTAAACATGCTCTCATAGGCACCCATCATCCCCCCCTCCCTAATGAAAAATGTAATTTACGAGGCGTGTATTAGGGAGATTTAGTTGTGCATATATAGGCTACCTAAGCAACTTATTATTCTGTAACATTGTAGTTTGCCACAGATTCCATGTCTGGCCTCAGATTAAACATGTCAGACAAACAAAATGTCTTGTGTTTGTCCCCTCCCCCTTTTGTCCACCACCCCCAATAACACCCAAATTATGCTAAACATCTATTGAGTTATCCTTACTTTCACATAGGGTTATTAATTTATTTAAATGTTGATTTTCTCCCTATATTACTGATGTGAATAGCATTAATGTGCTCTCTGATACAACGCACCCACATCAGTTTACATTTGCAGATGTGTCACTTGATTGTCTCTGCTCTGCGCAGCTGCTTTAGCCCCGTTTAAAACACTGTATAGGACAGACTAATTGACCTGTTAGCTGCTGCAGGCAAACGCTGCTATATGAGCCCATCATGGCCATTATCTATGCTTTCCCCCAGGTACATCGCCATGGTGGTAATCCCATTGCGCATGCATCATTACCTTCAATAGCATAAGGCAGCTTTTCTTTACAGCCACCGATTTAATTAAATTTGGTTGTAAATATTTGATGCACACCTACCCTACATTTGAACGTAAAGAGCAACGCATCAGGCGTCATGACTGATTACTGCTGAGGAGGAGGAGGAGGAGGAGGAGGAGGGAGGCTCCCTGTTAGCAGCCTGTCATTAACAGGACTCTTACAGTATCGGCCTGCTGACTGATCTGGACTTGGATGCTTCGTATCGTGAGGCTGACTCACATCAACTGGTGCCTTTTTTCCTCCACACATTTTTTTATTCATCACTCCAGAGTTACTTTTAGTAAATGAAAGGCATTCAGCTCCTCAGTTATCATATTAAATATCCTACAGGTGACCTTTAGTTGAAAATATATAATCATATGTTAAGGTTGCCAGCTGTTAATTTCATGTGTCCTCTTTATTGCTTATGACGGGAGATCAGTAATGTTCAGATTCAGACCTTTTCATTGACCATATTCTTATATTTCATCTATTTAGGCTATATTAAAAAATATACTTGTTTTCAGCCTCACGCAGATCATTAGGTCTCAGATTAACACAGACGGAAAAACTGAACTGGGGGAAAAAAAAAATAGGCCTAAATTATTATTCCTGACCTTCCTCATCCTCATCGTGTAGATTTTCCTGGATTTACCAGGCTCCGTGCATTACTGACAGCTCAGCCATTGGCCAAGGACACACAGGATGACCACAGCGCCTCTGAACTGAGCCTGAATTGCCCTAATACGGGGAAGACTTTTATTACAAGCATAATCCCACAAATACGACCTCAAATGACATTTTTTGCGAGGTTGTGGACGATTTGCAGGTATTGTTTCAGTGGTGGTCTGGAATCAAATGTAGTCATAAAGCCTAAATCTTTGCCTGCTGATGTAATAAGTAGATCAAATCAGAAGTGGAAACAGAATAGACCTTCATTACCAAGGAAACCAGTGATATATAAATAAATATATATAAAAGAATATACCCGATTTTCCCTCTTTGTTTTATGCAGACAAAAGTTCTGGTTATTTTACATGCTTTGCACTGTAAAGTAAAATAAGTTGTACAGTCCTGTCAAGCTGAATATGTAGACTGTAGAACAGTGCGTCGAAATCAATATCCCAACAGCAATTAGTTTACACAGCACCCTCTTGTCGTTCGCTATATTAAAAAGTTGGAAATGTGAGGATCAAAAAGTTTTGCAGAGCGTCGGCCAGCATCATGGACAACAGTGATCATCTTATTACCGCTGTCTGCAGGAGAGTCACAGGAGATAGCCCATAACGAGGGGGACTATAGGCAAAACAGGCAAATCAAAGGAACTTTGATGGACCATGTGAATTTCTCCGCCGGGTTTGATCCTACAAATGACCTTTTAATTAACACAATGTTAAGTTAGCGCAGCGGCTCGCTACACAGGGGACAAAGCAGCATTCATCCTATGTCCCTGCCTCAATGCTCGGCCCGAACAGTAACAAAGTGTTTGATGCCACTTCTGATTAGATGCTGACAATGGAGAGATGATGTCCCCCTTTCTTCCACAACTTGTGGATTTCACTCACGTCCTCCGCTGAATTATGACCTTCCATCAGCGCTGCGGCTTCGTGCGTCGAGTCAAGATGATCAACTTTGATCAAATGCACATCCGCAAATGTTTTAATTGGCCGATCGGCGTTAGTTAGTGCCTATAAATAACCAGCACACAGGAAACCAAAGCTCTTGGAAAAAATGTATTCTTAGAAAAAAATGTCATGGCAAAAACACAGAAGAAGCTCACATTTGAACACAATGACAAAACCCTTCAGGTCCACGCGCAACACGGGGGGGGGGAATCCAGTCCTTTTTATAGTCAACTTTATGCTCGACAAGCTTTTCTCTTTTACATCAGGCAAAATGACACAAAGCCACAGTAAAACGCAACATTTAACAAAATACTTAGAAGGGGGGGGCATACGAATTGAACCAATGGACACATTCAATAATAAACCAACAGACAACATAACCAAATAATAAATACACAGAGAAATAAATAAGTTTGCTACACTACACGATTGCCATACACAAATTTGTGGCCGTTTCATTTGGCCATTCTTGCTCCTTTGCATCTAGAATTTTTGCATAAAGTCTTTACCACCATAAAAACAAAGTTGTGCAAAATGATAGCCACGTCCACAGTTTGACAGCTCTCACTGCTGCAGCGCCAGGTAGCTCCCATGTGTCATACTGAGGCCAGTGTGTCCTTTAGTGCATAATAAATGTCCCATTATTTATTGTGGTTCAGTTTCCTTCAGCAATCTAGGAGGGAAAAAAAGACAGCAGGAATTAAAATAAGTTCCCAAAATGAGAAGGAATAAGTCTTTATTATGAGGTATTTAATTAAAAAAAAGGTTTGTTTGATAGGTTGTTTGCAATAGAAATGTTAACATTTTGTCTCATATTTTGATGGTTATTTTAAATTACTTTTGACATGGATGATGTCACTTGTCATTTAAGCAATCATTATATTTATATAAAGAAAAACTACAATTTAGCAACAGGTATTTAACAAGCAGTGAGTGAACGAGTGTATCCTCGTTCACCTGTGAGAGTTTGATGGTGGTGTTGTGTGTGCGTTGTGTGTGTGGCTGCGTGTGTCGTGACTTCATTGGTTTCTTCCAGTTCAGTGCAGACTCTCACCTGCTTCACCTCTTCATCACCGGTCTGAACGCAGTGACCTTGTCATCCTGCACGGTCCCACAGGCTTCGCTGAGGTCAGATGGCTGTGTCTCTGCTTTGCCGGCAGAGAATCCTACACACCCAAATAAAAGCAAATCTAAGAAACTTGCTTCAGATGCAAGTTGGCAGAAAGTGTCTTGCCTCTTCATAACCGTAGAAATGGGATTTTCTATATCCGACAACGTGTGGAAATTAAAAAAAAAACGTATCTGGTAGTGCTTGTGTGCCTTAATGTACCAGACAATGGAAATCACAGTATACCTGTTTGTCTAGAAAAACCCTACATATGGGAGATTTGAGACCAATTTTATCTCTTGTAATATGTGAAATTTTGCATGATGACATACCTTCAATAGTGGAGTACTGACACGTGTCTGGGAGTGCAGCATAAGATGAACAGTGCAGTTGGAGGTCCTTGTGACTGTAGCTGCCAGTGCCATAGACTTTTGAGTGCAAGGATGAGCCCTCAGGGAAGGGGCTCTCTGTATTGGTGACACTGCTAGATTCATGGAGGCCTCTCATGCCCCCACACTGTCCACTAGGAGCCCCGGTAAGCCTGGTGCTCTGGAGCTGGCAGTCCCCGCTTGAGTTGCCTGTCCTCAGCTCTGAGCCATGCTGCTGAGGGCTCAGTATGACCCCCGAAGCTGCCGTACGAGCCAGAGACCAAATCCGAGGCTTATCTGATGCTTCAAAGTGAGACAGAGACACTGTCCCCGTGAGGCTGGTTGAGGAGGGTCCCTTGGACACCACAGGGTCTAGGAAGTCGGATGGGAGAGGAGGGAGGGTGGCGACACTTTTGATGGCGCAGGGGAACGCGTGGAAGCTGTTAGTTAAACTGAGGTGCAGCTCGGAGCTGCAATCTCTCTTCTGAGGGGCTCCGGATACTGCCATGACCCTCTGGAGGTCTTGCTCATCTGCAGCAACTTTTTCACAGTCACTGTCCAGCTTGTCACAGTCGTCCTCATCCATGTCCTCCAGATCACTTAGATGCAGATCCTTCTCCTCCTTGCAATTACTGGAATCTGCATGAAAAAAAGGAAATTTTTAGGTATCACTGCTTGAAAAGTTGCCTATTGTAAATATATAGAGACTTAGTTTGTTCAGAAAACTTAAAATACACTTTTTACCCTGGAAACCACTTTGTTACCTTTTTAGTCCACAACATATTTGCCTAAATTTAGTGTAAGTAACTATATATTTAGTTTAACAATGATTAAGTCAGTAGTTTAACTTTTTTTTTTTTTTTAAAGTCAGATGATTACCTTTGGTGGCACAGTCTTGGTCGCTCTTGCTAAGGTCGTCCTTCCTGTCATCACTGGCCTTATTCTTTGGTGACCAGGTCATCTTGTTCTCCTTCTTTAGCCTCCTCCTGGCGTTGGCGAACCAGGTGGACACTTGGGTAAGGGTCATTTTGGTGATGATGGCCAGCATGATCTTCTCTCCCTTGGTGGGGTAGGGGTTCTTGCGGTGCTCATACAACCATGTTTTCAGGGTGCTGGTGGTTTCACGAGTTGCGTTCTTTCTTCGGGCCGTGCCATTAAAGTCTACTGTCCCGTATCTGGAAAGGAGAAACACACAAATTCACATACACACACAGACAGCGGCCATTAGTGCAGTTAGTGAAGGATAGCATTGACTACTCACTCAGTCATCCTATATCCCTACTCCCTGCTGTTTGAAATGTATACAGCTTTGCTCATTGCAGGTATCAGTATGTCGTTACACTCTGACCTTTGATCTGAATGCAGCATGTCGCCCCCCGTGAATGGCTGCTTTTAAAGATCAGTGGCAGGTCTGCTAATGTTCATACTACATATAGTGGACAAAAAGAATGTAGAAGTTACCTGTCATATTGATACTGTCCCAGTGAATGGTCATAAGGATAGTATGCAGCGGTTTGAGTGATGCCAGAGTGTAAAGTGCTTGTGCTGTCCTTAATGTCATACTGTGGATTCTGTAAAAGACAATGAAGTTGGTATAAGTCAAAACATTCATTATTTCTCAGCATGCTGATGATTTTTGACAACAATCTCATTTATAAACTGAAGACATTTCATATTTTTATGCTCTCAAACTACTAATAACTAACCGAGAGTGATTTAAGCTAGATAATAACACCCACACACACCATCAGTCTTTTTTAAATGTATTTAACAGGTTTGAAGTATAATATGCTATACATTATCCTATAATTGCAATTCTTATCATTATATAATTTTATTGTTTGTTTTTTTTATTTCTTCACTGTTTTTATGTACAATGTGTCATATAAATTTTAGCTGGCTAGCTTTTTAAAAAAGAGAAAATAAATAAGTAAAAGTTCCAGCTGCACTTCAAATTATCCATTTAACAATCCAGTCCTTTATTCACTCCAAAACAATTCTGACAACTAAGTAATAGCCTGTAATTCAACTTTTTTTCCCAAATGCTAGTTCAGCAACACAGGTGCCAATATTTTTGCAACAAGGCAGAATGTGCAGGATTACTTTATCATAATAAAATTACATTGGATTCAAATGAGACAAGTTCCTCTGCATTGCCTCCACCCAACTTCCCCTCACCTACTGTAAGGGACAGGCTTTCTTTTTTAAACTTCACTGGAAAAGAACATAAGACTGGATCCTGGACTAAACGGCTTGTCCAGACGGATATGTTTGCAGTGTGAGATAAATTGATGAACAAAACCCGGTTGATCGATCAGCCTGAGCCCCCCCTCCCCCTTTAGCGCATCGGATGAGGCTGAAGTGAGCCCACCAGAGTGGAGTAGATAGCGGATGGGTCGGTGCTGTAGGGGAAGTAGTTGGCGTAGTTCTGGCTGGCGGCGGCCGCTGCGGCGTATGGAGAGCTGTACATCCCCAGCGCTGCGTTCAGCTCCGTCCGGCTGCTCGCCAGGAGCCGGTTCTCGTAGGACGGGCAGCAGAAGGAGGCGGCGGCGGCGGCGGCGGCAGCGGCGGTCTGGGAGCCGCCTGTCCCGTCAGAGACCGACCTGGAAATCGAATCGCAGCAAGTCGTACTGGGGTTTGCCGACACGAAAAACTGCATGAAGAGAATCGTGGATAAACATGGTCATTGGCTGTTTCAGCTCTTATCTTGCTGCCTGTATCTGACTGTGGGTGAAGCACTGTAAAAAGAGATCTGAGTTGAGATGCTCAGTCTTGTGTTGAGTCTTGACATTTTTAAAACGAGTGAAAATGTGAGCTGGTTTCGTTTGTTTTTAGTTCACATCAGTTCACTTATCATTACCCAGGCGTCATTTTCTTAACTTGTGACCTGCTTTTATTCAAGGTAAGTCACTTTTCAGAGAATTCCTGGAATGAGAGAAAGTAGCTTACATTGTGAACAACTATAATAAGCGATATCACCTCATTGTCATCTTTTTAAAATAAAAACTATAATTTATATTAAAGTCAGTGTCATCGGAAGGATAGTTTTTCCACTGGATATCAAGATGAAAAGAGATATGCGCAGTCCGTGCGTAAAAGTGACCTGCTCCAGTTTATCATCGATTAGAAAATTTGAACTTGAAAGAAAAATCTAAATTAATGTCATTGTCAAGTAAATCACCACCTTATTTCAAATTTAAAAGATTAGAATTTTAAATATAATCTACTGAACGCTCCAAAATATTATCGAGATAAAAGTTGGGTGACAACTTTTCCATGAGAGTAACTTTTGTCCCTTGATCACTTGAACTTCCCCGAACTTGTCATTAGGCGCAATAATAGTGTTTGAAAATGTAAATAAACCACTTTGCTCGAGTTTTAAAAGCTCTTAAGACAATGCCATTTGTCTAACATCCCACACGTCTCAGTGGTTTAAATAGAAAGTTTCCAAATGTGTACAGCATGCGCTCCAGCCCAATTACACCTCGCAGTGAGCAATAGGTGACATTCATCTCTATTGTCATCAGAAAAAACACGTGAGTTCATTCATAATTCAGTGTAATTGGACACGGGTGCGTGTATATCGATATTTGGTTCAACAACAAAAGCGCCACAAGAAAAAAAAAAGCTGTCAATACTGTCAAAGCAGTCACTCACTCATGAATGTTTCTTACTGGGAGACTTGCTCCGGCTATAGCGAAATAAAAGAAAATGTGAAACAAAAAAAGCCAATTGAGAGTGTGTGTGCGTGAGTGTGTACACAGAACTTAGGAGAAATAAAAAGCAAAGTGGCTTACCTGTGAAGTTGCATTGTAAGGGTATCCAAATTGCGAGAAAGACATAGCTGCTTCTTTTGTTACCATCAGCAATATTCTTCACCCTTGATCGATTGCAACCAATTCTACTTCAAATCCACCGTCTTACACACATTTCCACGCACGGCCTTTCGCTCAATAATAGATGACTTCACTCATAGGAGGGAGACTTTAGGCTGGCACCAGCTGCAGATTGTTTTATATGAATGAATAATCCCCCCCAAGGACCCGATAAGAAATGAAATTAAGCGTCATTAAGTGCAAAAAAAAATTTGTTGTTGTGTTAGCTGAAGGAGGCTTAAAGGATAACGTAAGACTTGCAAGATATGGACTCTGCTTGTGCTATTATTTGTGGCTCTATAGTTCTTTAGCATTCATCCATGCAAGGGTAACAGCGTGACGTCACTGTAATCCCGGAACGGCAGGGTACCAAGGATAGAATAATGTCTTTGCCAATCACGTCTAACGCAGGCTTTTCTTAAGGTGCACTGTACACAGTCTTGTCCCGCTTTTGTAATAGAATTTTTCACCCGATTTGCTGAGATAAAAGTCTCTGGAAATTGTATTATTGTTCATCATGATTGACTTACAGCATAGAAACATATGGAAACCCTTTGTGAAGTTAAATGAACTAGAAAAAAACAACAACCAGTGAAGATATTTTCGACAGTCTTGTGAGTTTATCACAAACACGTCCTCATTCAGCAGAAGAGATTACTTTTTCTTTTCTCTCAAATAGGAATCAAATATGTAAACTAGAAAGACAGAGGACTGAAGATTGTCTGTTTAAAAAGACTGTAGTTTAAAACTATTTCTTTTATTTACAATCTATCTATCATAATTAAAGCTGGCTGAATAAGGTGATGTAAGACTTTTTTTCTTTTTCTTTTTTAATCTCGACCTCTGTTCGCCTCTGGCTCTCTGGCCAGAGGTCCATCCCGGAGTTAATGACGATGATGTTTCTATCTTTCTCTATTAGAGAGAGGGGCAGTCCCAGCAGGAACGGTTAGAGGGGTTTTTGGCAGGTCAATAGACCAGTGATTGATGCGCGCCTGGAGACCTACGTGACCATTACGCATAATGCGTAATTGTATCAATTAACAAATGGATACATGCCCTTGTTTAACCAACGAGTAACAGAGTGAAAATATGCCTTAGAGGTGAAATCCGAAGAGCTGTGCTTGGAAAAAAAAAAAGACAGTGGAAGCCCTGCTCCCCAGTCTAATTAAATATCCGTGGATGGGGGCGACGAGAATTGCATTTTAATTGAATGATGCTCACTTGAAAGATGGGTAAGGAATGATGCTGCCTCACAGTGAATGAAACGAGAAATAATTTTAAGCCTTATTAGATCAGCAGCTCAACCATCACCAGTTCCCTCGCTCTCTCCTATAAACATAAACAAGCATTGCCCCCTCCCCGCGTGATGTTGAGCTGGGACACGGAGGGAGGGGTCTATTATTTCCCCTATACAGACTATATTTGTATTGACAGTGACAGCGATGATCAGTCCTATGAGTCATATGATCTGCTTGTTTCTGACTATCTAGGGTTGTGTAAATTTTCCGTTGTAATGTCGGATTGTGCCAAATTTTCCCGGTGCCCCTGCCTTTCCATAACTGATGCATGGCGTTTCTTCCCTTGGAGATGCATCTGCGATTATGGGCTTTCTCTCCGAGGGGCGCTAAAGAGCTGCGTGTAGGAGATGAAGATCTCCCGTCAGGAGATTTTCCACAGAGATAAAGTGGACAGAGTGGTCATGGTCCGGGATCTGGGAAGTGCCTGGGAAGTAAACACCCACAGGCAGCAGCAAGTCACACACACACACACACACACACACACCACTTCTGGTTCTGACAAGTGCTCATTGCTTCTGACAGGCAACTAAGCTACAGCATGGAACTTGTTGGATAACACACCCTGGTCCTCAACAGGAAGCACGGCACTCCATGTTACCAAACTGTATTAAACCTTTCATGTGGTACAATAATTTCTTTTAAATAAAATGTGCCATTTCATTCCAACTTGTTGGTTCTTCCACTGTCTTCTTATTTCTCCTGCTATCTCACTTACTGTTCAGCAGAGAACCAGTCAATATTTTTTACAGTGCCAAAACTCACGCAAAAATCCACTAGTGCAAATAACTTATATCACTTATACCCACAAATGATAGAGACAAGCCAACTCTATTATAACTGAACTGAACTGTATGTCCAAATGCATTCTTGTGGTATGAATGGAAACATATGTATGAAGACAAAAAGTGAACTGTACATATATATTGGTACAGGATCAAATATCTGAATGAGCAAAACAATGTATTAAAACATCTACTTTTGACAAGATAAGAAAAACAGCTTTGTTTTTGGCTTTGTGACAATGCAATTTTAAGATAATCCACTGGGTTTTTAAACTGTTTATTGAGCTTAAAATGTAGAATAATTTCTCAAGCCCTAAGGGATCACTTAATCCGTCAGTTTATCTGAAATATTCAGAATCACACAATTTGGAGATACATGGGCTTAACTGGACAGTGACAAGAGTTGGAATGGGAACACAGATATCAACAATAAGCAAAATTGAACTCTCTTAGCTTTCCATTTGCCATTAATGGTGGATATCAGAACTTATCCAAGGAGAATGCACACTTTCATGCCTAAATCGTTATTCCATAGGAGAACGTGCACAGAGGGAGGGTTGAAATAAACTAAAAGTAATTGCATACCAGTGGTCGATGCATTTCTACAAGGGCATACATGATGGCCCAGGTGCATATGGACAGACTCATGCATAATGCATGTCCAGCAGTCAGTGTAGATCTCACTGAATCAGGCCGAAATGAGCACTAATTGTAGTGGCAGACTGACCACTGTGCCCTTCCCTCTACAGTGAGACTTTTCTTTTTTCTTTTTTTTTTTTACAGTGTTTTGTCTGGATTACTTAGTAATCACATTGGAACAAGGTTTTGTTTTTTAGCAGCTAAGTGGCTGACAATGGCAATTAGGGATTTTTTTACAGGTTTGTTTTTAGTTTTTTTGGCAAAGTCTGCCATTTTAGAGGTAAAGACTACTATAGAGTACTACAATCCCAACAACATCCAATCACACAGAGCTTCTGTAGCAGTAGGATGATATGAGGCCATGCTTAAGCTGTCAGGCCCTGTCCAAATTCAAGCCCCTGTCCATGTCTGTGTACACCAGCATGGGTTTAAGTCATGGATCATTTATATGTCAATTTTGGACTGTGGTCAAATGAAACTGGGAAAGAAGGTGAAAAAAACATAATATAATCTTCTTTGGAGTACTACGTTTGGGGTGGGGACAGTCACAAGTGACAACAGAAAGAGCACCAAAAAGTTCAGACAATCACAAGAAAGTATTGCCAGTAAACTCATTTCCAACGCTTAGCATCCTGCATGCATGCATTCTCATGATACAAAGAAACGAACCGTGCCTCTACTTGAAACAGTCTGCAACAAACTTTGGCAGTTGGAATTTGTAGACATACCATTTGACCCATGACTGCTCATGTAATAGAACATTTAACTACTAGCAGACAAAGGCATTCATCGTTATAGTACATTCACTCACGTTATTTAAGAATAAGCAAGTCCAAACCTCCATTATATCTTGTTCTAACAGATCCATGCGGTTACTAATGAGATGGAGTAATGCACGCATCCTCCATTAGAAGCATCACAGGGTGGAAAAAGAAAAAAAAAACCTGGAAAGGTTAAGTCAACACTCAATAGCTCCCAGCCCTATTCTCCTACTTAATACATTTCCTATGCTGACTTAATGAACCACACAAAGCCTTCCTGGTTTTTCATCAGATGAGGAGTAGCGGCGGTGGTGCTGGAGGTGGAGGGGTGGGGGAGTTGGGGGGCTGTATGAAATGGTAATAAGGGCAGAGAGACGGAGAGACAGAGGGAGAAGCCTGAGCTGAGCAGTGGATGAAGCTGCACCTACCTGGAGGTGTGTGATCTCATTAAAGCCAAATTGGTATATGCCAATAAATCCAAGGCACTTGTGATCTGGAATTATTACACACACACACACACACACACACACACACACACACACACACACACACACACACACACACACACACACACACACACATACACAGCATACACACAAACTACCCCCATGAGGAGCATTATTAGTACTGCAAAATTATCCAAAATGGAAAGAACAGTAATAAATATTGTAATGAGAAATAATAGAGCAGTGGCGGATATGGTCACAGCAGTGGCCGGTTAACACCAAAACAAACATCTCCAGGGCTGGTGAATAATTACAGCACACAGAGGGAGTCATTAAAGCTTCATCAAACAGAGAAAAAAGGGAGAGGGTGAGTCTGACATCATGACGACTGTCTCAATAAATCAATCTGGAGTAGGGGAAATAAGGACGGTAACTGCATGTGATGACGGTACAAGTTTGATTGCTGTATAAGTAGTGCCACTGTGCTGTGGTATACTTTGATTGGTATCTTGACTTTAGCAGACAATGTGTATTTTGAAAGAACATAATTACGCACACATCCATCTGGTTTTGTTTTCCACAGTTTAAACATGAATCTGTACAATAATGGACAGGCATAATTGGTGTTTAATTTGTAACCTCGTCACTTTGATTGCTTTTAGTCAGATGTTTAACTCAAACAAACCCTGGGCATTTTGTGTTGGGAGCCGCATATCCCAGAGGCCTTGGGGCTCCTGGGAGAGGGAGGGAGAGAGAGAGAGAGAGAGAGAGGTGAAAGACAGAGCGAGAAAGAGGCATGTGTGTGTTGTTTGTGTGTGCTGGCTGGCAGAGTCCCCTTGAGGCTCTACTGTAAAGCTATCATCAGTGGTGGTGTCAGGGATTTGTAGCTTGTCACCGAGAGAGCGAGAGAGTGCTGGCAGTGACTCTGGGAAATAACTGCTTATAGAGAGAGCCTGGCTTGCACAGCTTGTGTGAGTGTAGGTGTGTGTGAGAGACAGAGAGATGGAGAACGAGTGGGAGGAATGTGTGTCTATTTTTCTCCCCGGGGTGTCTGGAGATGTGTGTGTGTGTGTGTGTGGACGGGTAGCTTGTGGGTTGATCATATGTGTGGATCCATGTACCGTCTTTCATCTTGGGGCCTTAGGCTCTTTGTCTATGTGTGTTCTTGTCGGCAAGTGGTGTGTATACATGTCTATTCTGGGTGTGTCAAAGCTGCCGTGGTGGCGTTGTGTGGATCCGTGTCTCCTCATGAATTAACGTTAACATTCGGACCTGAATATGATCAAATATGTATTTTCAGTCACCAGCAGTAAGGAGTCTGTGGAGGCTACCTCTCTGCTACTATATGCCTGTGTTTGTGTATGTGTGGTCTTTGCAGAGATGGATGCCGACTTCAAACCGAACTTTCCCTCAAGGCGGAGGGCCAGCAGCAGCAAAACGCTGCTGTCGGGTAAATACATGTATCTGCAAAAAAACAAGTTCCTCTGGAATGACGAATGGAGGGCTCATTTTCTCATTGACAACCATGTATTTCTGAAATCGCGTGTTGGCAGTTGACCAGGTTTCAAGGGCCCGAGGGTCATGAAATTCACTCAACTCATAAATGATCATGTCAGCGTTCAAATGGAGGAAGAAAAGGGAAGACGAGGAAAATTGCAGTTACATGGTTTCCATCTGACTGCAGCTGCTAAATCCACGGCAGCATTGTGGCCCATCTCTAGGGCCCGCAGAGGCAGAAAGACAGTTCCTATTACTGTCAGTCCAATTACCGGCCACAGCACAGCCACCGCTGTCAACACCAGACAGGTCATGGTATGTATCGGCATCTTTTCTCTCATGTATAGCCATATTTCTTAGGCGGGGGAACTTGTATAATATGCAGCACAGCTTTGAGTTTTAAGAAACTGTTTATCAACATTTAATATAACCTACTCTTATAAATGAGCCATTAAGCAGGGTCAAGAGTTGAGCGGAGTAGGAAATATTCAAGATCCTGAGACGCGAAGGACACCTACTACCCAGTGTACAGCTTATAAACACTGGAAACA